TTGAAATATCGATTGGTAGTTGTAGTCAGGGTTACTTCCACTCACTTGCTATAAAAACATGTTTTTCGGAATTATGAAATCATGATATAGTATAATACTAATTAGTACTTGTAAGTTACAAGAAGAGGTCATGAAGTATATGTTAGACACATAAAACCTGTCTAAATTGCTTTCAGTGCGTCACAATCAGCGATTTAACGACTCGTGAGCGCTCACTCTGAGTGAACGCTCACGAATCATAAGATCGCTAATTGTGGCGCTCTCAAAGCGAAATTGACAGGTTTTATGAGTCAAACACATACTTTACTACTTCTTCTTGTTACTTACAAGTACAACATAGCATTATTGCATCTAACGATTGCATAATTCTGAATAATATTTTTTATAGCAAGTGAGTGGAAGCAACCCTGGTTGTAGTCTGTTGTAGTTCGTTGTTATTGTCGGTCGTGTTTGACACCGGAAACCCCACACCCGACTTTCGATTTTACTCCCGTTCTGTACAACAACAAAGCGTCGGACATGGTGTGCATTATGGCGCATTATTGTACAAATACAGCGCACTATGTCCGACGTTATGTTTTATGTACAGATTGAGAGAAAAATCGATTGGCGCATGTCGAATTTTCCGGTTTTCTACTTTATCAATAATATTTGGTTTTCATAAAAGTTCCTAAGCAGTTAAAATGCGATGTTACGCAAAGTTTTGCAGCTACACTGTAAGTGCACCGGTGAAGAGAAGTTATTTCGCTTTCCGAAGGATCGTTTCTTGTGCCGCGCGTGGTTGATTTTTTGCGAGATTGATCCGATCCGATTGTTCATCAAAACTATGAATATGTTTCCAAAAATAATAACAACTACGTTTTACTCAGATTACAATACTCCCTATCTTCCATATGAGCTCTTATAAGAACAGTAAAAAATGGTTCGATTTTAACAGTTCAAATTGGTTTGAAATCCATTACGAGTCCGCCAGACCCAGTTTGAAACGATCGGTGATGATTCTCTGGAGATGTTAATGCTTATATCGGCATGATATAACCATAGAGGTAACTCTAAGACTAGAAGGTCCCGAAATAACGTGCTCAACTTTTTGGCTCAGCTCTGGTACTCTCTTCGGTCCCAAGCTAATCGATTTACCCCTCGAAACATAGGAAAAACCAATAACCCCTCATTTTATCTGTCAAACTTTCATAGCGAATCAAAACAAACATTGCGTAGTACTAGAATTTCGACTAGCATAGGGTACGTTAATCGTTTGCTTGGGACCAATAGGCTACTAAAGTGGTGAGTCAATTTAAAATCGTTAGTTTCGTATTGATTGTTGATATAACTATAGAGGTAACTCTAAGACTAGAAGGTCCCGAAATAACGTGCTCGACTTTTTGGCTCAGCTCTGGTACTCGCTTCGGCCCAAGCTAATCGATTCACCCCTCAAAACATAAGAAAAACCAATAACCCCTCATTTTATCTGTCACACTTTCATAGCGAATCAAAACAAACATTGCGTAGTACTAGAATTTCGACAAGAATGGGGTACGTTAATCGTTTGCTTGGGACCAATAGGCTAGTCAAGTAGTGAGCCAATTTTAAATCGTTAGTTTCGTATTGATTGTTGATATAACCGATTACAAATATTTTACTTTTCGGTTCGTTAATCGATTAATCGATTATTCGAATGAAAATCGGCCATCACTAGATGAATGTGAAACGTCATTTAAAATATAAGGACCGTACATAAATAATGATACGATTTGAAAGGGACCAGGGCTAATCACAAATTACGTCCCCACGGTAACTGAAATAAATACGAGTGTTCACCGGTTGCTACTAGTCTTAGAGTTACCTCTATGATTGTACCACATGGCAACACTAAATGTACTAGAATGTTTTGGTTCTACCTATTTCACTCTACTCAAAGCTGAAATGCATAAAAAATGACAAAATGGTGCATTCTTTGCACACTGTCAAAGATCATTGAACACAAAATCAACTTTGTTCAAATCAAAACAATAAAACTAGCCCATCTGGTGACTGATGGCACAAGCTTATAAGAAAATTCTATCACAAAGAAGTGACAGACGGAGCGGCTCGAAAACTTTGGTGACGCACCTGCTATTGCAATTTTTCAGTGTACGACATGGCAACACTACTAATGGATTGTACTAGAATGTTTTGGTTCTATCTCTTTCACTCTACTCTAAACTGAAATGCATAAAAAAAATGACAAAATGATACACTCTTTGCACACTGCCAAAGATCATATTGCACACAAAACCAACTATGTTCAAATCAAAACAAAAATACTATCCCATCTGGTGGATGATGGCAAAAGCTTCTAAGAAAATTCTATTACAGCGAACCACATTATTTTAATTGATTTCTTCGCCAGATAGTCGTCTGTCACTTCGTTTGTGATTCTATTACAGCGAACCACATTATTTTAATTGATTTCTTCGCCAGTCGTCTGTAACTTCGTTTGTGTTTAATTTCCATCGTTTGCATCAACCATTCAGTGGGATGTGAACATCAAAACATATCATGCGCTTTTTCGGTGACACCTATACATACATACATGCGTCGAGGCGAAGATAAACAAACACAACAGGAAAACAAAACTTGGAGTAGAGAATTCACGAAAAACTCCCTGAAACTTTCTCCGGCAGAAAAGAAACTCTACATCTAAACATCAAAATCACGCAAAACCTGATCCACCGAGAACTCGAGACAGCTCTGTCGAACTTCCGTAGAACCTCTGTTGGCAGCATCGGAAATCTCCACCGGAATCATGCGGAAGCTTCTTCACGAAAAAATACCATACATGTTTCGTGAAGCTTCCGTTGGCGGTACCGAAAATCACCATCGTGAATACGAGAAAATTCCGTCGAAACTGGAATCTCCGCTGGCAAAATCAAAAACCTCCACCAAAATTATGCAGAACCTCTCCCGCTGAGAACGCGAGAAAACTCCGTTAAAATTCCCTGAAACCTCCGCTGGCAGCATCATAAATCGCCACCGAAACCTATGAACCTCGTCCGCCATGATCGCAAGAAAACACCATCTAAATTTCGCATTTTTTAATGTAATTGTAATATACTTAATTGTCAACATCAACATCAACAGACTCAGACTGGGGCTACAATGTATTTTATTTAGTCAAACCAAGTCAAACGAAATCCTGCTGGATGAACCTATTATCAGAACAAGACAAAGTTCTTAGAACCTTCGTGTTGGCAGCTGCTAGAATCGTCTTCGAAATCATGCAAAATTTAATTCACCAAGAAGGCAAAAAAATCCGTTGAAATTTCCAGGAACTCCCGCTGGCAGCATAAAAAATCACCGAAATAACGCGGAACGATAACGTGAGAAAATGCCTAGAGCTTCCGTCTACAGCTTCCAATCTCTTCACTGGTATCGTGCAGAACCTCTTTCGCCGAAAATGCGTGGAAACTTCGTCGAAAGTCTCTGAGAACCTCCGTTGGCAGCATCTGAATTTTCGAGGGGAGTTTCGACGGAGTTTTCAGATATTCACCGGCGGAGAGGGTTCTGACAGATTTTGGTGGAGATTTTCGGTGCTGCCAAAGGAGTTTTCTTGCGCTACCGGTGGAGGAGGCTCTGCACGATTCCGGTGGAAATTTTTAATGCTGCCACCGAAAATTTCGACGGATTTTTTTTCTGCCGAATAATTTTCTTAAGTCACGAGTTTGGATTTGAGCGAACCGAAGCATACAACAAAACAGGAAAAAAAAAACCCTTCATGTCACTTTGAACTAAACACTGCAAAAAATGCACTGAGAAAATGCATTTTCTCCGTGTATTTTTTTTTTTTTGTTATAATAAATGCACCAAAGTGATCTGCTCCTAGACTATAGGCGAATTCAATAGAAACTAAGCGATTGTTCCGGCTTCTGGCGGTGAATAGGGGAACCATAAAAAGAGTGATGAGGGTGGAAATTTTCACCGTGAAGCATAGGAAGAGGAAAATATTTTCACCTTTCCTGATTAATTTATCCACCGCAGGTGCTTAAAATCATCATCACCGTGGAATATTTTGTTTTCTGTATCAGGTTTGCAGTGATCCGGCTGGTGCTTCCATATATTTTTTGATGAGAAAAAATAAGATTTATGAAATTGTCTCAGCGGTTATGATCTTCCGGATTTTTAATTTGTGGTTATTTCAGCAGTAAATCAGTTCAGATCTGTAGATAATCGTAAAATAAGACCACTCCCGATGGAAATTTGCAAGTTGTGCAATAAAATGTACATTATTTTGAGTTTTGAAAATCGTCATTATGATGTAAACAAATGGATTGGATGACATTTCCACTCAAAATCGGCTAGCGCACTCTACATTGCTGGTGCATGAAAAGAGCCTATTATTCATTACAAATTACTATTTTTATGAAACGCATATATTTTGGCTACTTTTTGTGTGATTCTAGACGAGAAAAATTTAGACCATTGTTTTGTTCCATAGTAAACGTCATTTTAACTTCGATTTTAACTGCTCGATGAAGTAGTTAATTCAGTGCCAACATTTCAAAGGGGCGTAATTGCATTTGTAAACAATGGCTTTAGTCGTCGATTTCTCGCGAATAAAAGCTCACTTATGAAAAATAATTACACCAGCAGGTAGAAGAATGTTTCCTCTATCAGCAAGCAATGTAATTTTGTAGAGTTAAGATTTCATTCGCGAGAAATTTACGGTTAAAGTCATTGTTTACAAAAGCAATTACGCCCCTTTGAAATGTTGGCACTGAATTATAAAAAAAAAAACAATTATTTTTCACTTGCGAGTTTCACGAACATATTGAGATTGAGCCTCTGCCTCACGCTGAATTATTCGTCAAATTATTCCAGCATGGACACGAACCGATGTCCCTGTAAAAAACAAGACGAATATGTTTACGCCACTTTTGACATTTTAGTTGCGCTCGAGTGACTTTTTCAATAAAAATCCAACAAGAACCATTTTCCCAGACCGGAAGCTACCGTCAAGTGAACACAATATTCGGTTGAAATAACATAAAACAATGGCAACTAGCCTTCTGAAGGACCGTCCTCTGTACGAGCAACTGTGCAAAGATTATCTTAATTTGAAAATCATCGTTGGAAATTGCTGTGTAAATCAACCGGAACTAGTACCGAAATACAAAGATGTTTTGAAGCATGACGTTAATTCCGTTAGAAAGATGAGTCAAGTTGCAGGAGCGGATGATCTGTTCCTCCTGTTGGAGAGGAGAAACTTGATGAGTATGATAAAAGTGCAGTTAATGATAAAGTTAGATCCCGTTACGGAGGATGTAGAATTTTCGAAATATTTGGAAAAGTATCGACATGCTTTGAAGCAACATTTTGCTACAATTAGACGGTTTTATCTGGAAGGTAGTTCGGTGTACAAATTTCAATTGAAATGTAGATTTTAAAATTTGGCAAACTTTCAGATCTTCGCCATCGTGACCGACGAACGCTTTTAGAGAAGGAAATCGAGCAAGCTAAACTTGGCGCATCGGAAGAAGAACCAACCAAGGATGAAACGACGGTTAAAAAAGACACGCAACTTCGTATGCCTAGCTCGGATCACACTTCGGCAAATCAGTATTCGCGCCACCGGCAGAGCATATTTAATCTATTAACTAAGGAAATTGTTCGCAATTGGAGTACGTTTGGACGGTTCATGCAACTGAGCGACAGTAGCCTAGAGGAGATTGAATTCCGTCATCCTAGAAATGTGAAAGCAATAGTCGGCGATATCCTGGAGACGGCCGAAAGGGAGCAGAACGAGAATGGACGGGAGTTCGTGGGTGCACTGCTGGAGGCTTTGGTAGAATTTAGGCGAAAAGATTTGAAAATTAAAATTGAAAAGATGCTGAGATGACAAACATTATTGTGCAAGATACGTGTCACCTACCTGTATGTTGTGTTTTTTTTTATCTAGTCTTGATGTAATACATTCCGATTGTGTCTTACAATTTTGATAATCTATATAATACCTACCTATCTATATAGGGGAAAAGTTAGCTTCGGCAATACCTTAACCTATTATCGTCAGGTGGTAAACAACGTCATTAAGAGCTCAATTTTGGCATGTGTATACATTGTGTTTCAGAGCAACTATTAGCCAAATTTGAGTGCTCTAGGACTTTGTTTACCCCCTGACGATAATAGGTTAAGGTATTGCCGAAGCCAACTTTTCCCCTATATAAAAATGAATTTCTGTCTGTCTGTCTGACCCTTACAGACTCGGAAACTACTGAACCGATCGGAGTGAAAATTTGCATGCAGGGGTTTTTGGGGCAGGGAAAGGTTCTTATGATGGTTTGAGACCGCTCCCTCCTATGTAAGGGGGAGGGGGCTCCCATACAAATGAAACAGAAATGTCTGCATAACTCGAGAACTAATCAAGCAAATGGAACCAAATTTGGCATGTGGTGGTCATAGGGGGTATTAGATAAGAGGGGGGAGGGGGCTACGCACAGTAGCATACTTTTTTTTAATTTGTGCATAAGCTCAAGCTAACATTGAAACCCGAGCAAGGCCGGGCACACTCAGCTAGTCACCAATAAATCTTGGAAGATATTTGTTGACGCCGGGATAGTAATCGGAAAGTGCAGTAATCCGAAAACTCACAAATTCACAGTATAAAATAAGCCAATTTTATTAACACGTAGGTATTTACAGAAATTCAGACAATAAATTAACTGCAACGTTTCCAGTCTGTGGGCGAGAGGTGCGACGGAGCGAGAGAGTCTGTTCATCTGTCCGTGCAGATGAGGACCGTTTGGGTTGGCGATCAACAAACTAACTAGATTCTATTGCTGCTGCGGTGGAAGTATGATAGAAGGGACGGGGAGGGGAAGGTTATTATGTTAGTGGATGCGATCACCTCTCATAGCTTATGGAGCAACAATGAGCATCTGCCGTATCACAGCCGGTTTGGTCTGGTGCGAAAATGCGTAGAAATATCCGAGACGTCTTTTTATAAGTCAAATTACAAATATATTGCTACATTACTATTTCAAATTACCTTTACGCCTTTTGCCTCCCAAAATCGTACAAATTCGTTGCTCTGAAAGGGGGGACCATTATCGCTTTGTAGGATAAGCGGTAGACCCCAAGTGAAGAAAATCTTCTGAAGTGCTTCATTTGTGCTTCTGGCATCCGTAGATCTCATTTCAACTACTGTGAGAAATCTGGAGTACGTGTCAACCAAAACCATAAACTCTCCAAACCCACAACCATGAACAGTCAAAAAATCAACCTGCAATATCTCCCAAGGACCTTCTGACAGCTGGCGACTTGAAAGTGGAATTGGTGGATTTCTTTTGGAAATTATGACGCAAGTGTTGCAATTTTTCACAAATTTCCCTACATCGTCGCTCATTCCTGGCCACCAGAAAAATTCTCTGAGAATCCTTTTCATAGCCGGGCAACCGATATGCCCCTTGTGTGCTTCTTCTATGGCCTTTAGGTGTAGACTTAAAGGTAGAACAATCTTATCTTCTTTGAACAGCATTGGATCCAAAACTCGCAAGTCTCTTAACTGTGCCTCGTAACTAATGAGATGCTTCGGCCAAATTCCAGACTTTATGGCTGAACGCACTTCAATCAGAACTTCGTCCTTCTCCGATTCCAGCTCAATATCCTGCCACGTTATGTTCATAGAACCAGCTTCCAACGAATATAGTAAGTTTTTCTCATCTTCTTCCTCGAAGGGCTCGTCAACTTGCGCCTTTGAAATCAGTCGAGAGAGAGCATCTGCTACATTCAAGTGTCCTGGTATTCGCTTGACCTTAAAATCGTAAGCCTGAAGCCGCAAAGCCCACGATTCCGCTCGTGATACTGCACGCTTGCTCAGTTTGTATCCTTTACCGAAAATAAATTCGTTGGCTTCGGCGTCCGTGCGTACCACGAAGCTTTTTCCAGTCAGATAAAACGTGAACCTTTCGATTCCCCAGACCATGGCAAGTGCTTCTTTTTGTGTATGAGGATACCTCATTTCAGCTGCTGTCAGTGCCTTAGATGCACAAGAAATTACCCTTGGAACCCCTTCGTTGTTGTATTGCGCGAGAACTGCGCCTAACCCGAATGGAGACGCATCGACGTAAAGCTCCGTATCATCATTTACGTTGAAATATCCAAGTTTTGATATTATTTTCAAGGCCTCTTCTTTCAGGAACACAAATTCTGTTTCTTCCTCCTCACTCCAGTAAAAACGTTCCGATTTTGCAAGTTCCCTTAACTTCTTAGTCTTGTCCGCTCTGTTAATGATGAACCGTTCCGTGAAATTCATTAGCCCCAAGAAACTCTTCACTTCTTGCTGTGTCTCCGGTGTACGAAATCCTCGAATGGCTTTAAGTTTTTCGTCTTCAACTCTAAGTCCGTCATGGCCTAATTGGAATCCGATAAATTTCACTGATTGTTTTCCAAAAACACACTTCTTATCGTTTATGCAGACGTTGTGCTCGCGTAGCTTTCGCAACACTTCCTTCAAGTTCTCGTCGTGTTCTGTTTTAGTTCTACCGGATACCAGAATGTCGTCGAGGTAATTATGAGCTCCGTTACATCCTGCCAACACAATTGTCTGCATAATCTCCTGAAATATATCTGGAGCGTTTGTCAGCCCAAATGGAAGCCTTTGAAACCTATACATAGCATCTCCCGCAAAGAAATTTGTCAGGTGCCGCGAACTTTCGTCCAATGCGACATGGAAGAAGGCACTCGTCAAGTCAATAGTAGAGAACCATTTGCAATCTGGTAAACCGGAGAGAATACATTCCAAGGTCGGCATCTTGAATGGTGTTCGGATGATTGCTTGATTTGGGCCTCTGAGATCCACCACTAATCTTATATCATTTTTACCCTTAGGTACTACCAAAAGTGATGAGCAGTATGATTTGTCCATCGAATCCGTGACGCGCTCAATAATTCCTGATGCCAATAGATCGTTGATGCGCCGCTCTGTCTCGGTTTTAAAAGCCGGTGGGATGTTTGTAAAGATCTTTCTCGACGGCGGCATGGTGTCATCGTATCTGAGAATTACCGGTGGGACATTGAACTTTGGAAACTCTTCAGGTACATGCAGTGACTGAATTTCTCCAGGAAAGTTCATGTGATGTTGCGTTTGGATTGGAACGTCCAAACCCAGCTGTAGAACACTGTATCTAATGGCAGTGTCCCTGCCCAACAACGCGCGTGCTTTGTTGATTACATAAAAATTTTCCATGTAGCAAGGCCGATCATCACTAAGGGTCAGCTCTGCCACAAATGTTGCAACAACGTCAATATGACCTGAAGATGCGTAAGCCTTCAGTGGCTTGTCCGTTCCATGTTTGATGCACAATAACCCAGCTCTGGATTCAGCGTCTTTCAGTAGCATTTCGAATGTATCACCTCCGATCGTGTTTACGTCAGCGCCCGAGTCGATCAAAAAGCTGACTTGGATCCCTGATATTTTGCCAATAATTACTCCATTTTCATTCAAATTCGACGATTCATTCACACCTGAAATGCATGTTTCTGATTCCTGAAAATTTATTTGTATATAAAGTACGAGATTTAGCTAAAGGATAAAATTTATACACACTAACCGTCAGCGTGGTTCCCTTCTCGATTGTGTTTTTATCATTATCAGATGAGCACACGTTAGATGCTGCTCTATCTTGGGAAGAGCATTCTAGCTGTTTGATCTCTCTTTTAGAATCTTTCGTTTTGGACTGGGATACATATTTCTGTTAATCAAAATGGTCATTCTTAGCAACATAATGATAATACGTAATGTACGAGTTCATTGTATATTTATTGATTTAAAAAAAGTAGCTTTAAGTAACAGTAATGAAAACGAGGCCAAAGTTTTTTTTTTAATAGCCCGTAGCTATATCAAAACAATCAAAATAACTTCTATATTGAAATGCAAAAATCAATCCAGTAGCTCGCAAAAGTAACGAATGATAAAGCCAGATCAGTTATGCCGAAGAAGGTGAACTTACACAATCATTGACAGCTTCATCCTCGTCGTGCTTAACAATAGCGACCTTCTTTGACGTAAACGCGACTTCTTTATCATCGGTGCTGATGCGTCGCTTGATCGGTCCCGATGACGGCATTCGACGACAAGCTCGTGCCACATGTCCCATACGTTGGCAATTATGACAAGTCTGCTGAATGGACCAACATTCCGTTGCGTTGTGCCGGTTACTCAAACACCTCCAGCATCTGTTTTGCTGGGAGGTTGCCTCTCTGACGTATCCACGACGAACAAATCCTCTTCCTCTAGTACCTCTCCAGTTACCACCAAATCGTGGTTGGTCATTACGTGGGTATCTCTGGCTGCCAAACCGATTATTGTTGAAAGTCTCGTTCCCTGGTTTACCAGCAGTCACAGCTGCCACCTGTACCTGCTGTAGAGCTTGCTGATGATTTTTCGCATACATCTCTTCGTTTATTTGATCCATCTCCAAAGCTCGAACTTTATCCAGTAACTCTCCGAGCTGTCCACCTTTGCGCAGAAATTTCCTGGCCACTTCACGAACCTTGCGATTTGAAGCATGGGCTTGAATTGAGTCCGATATCTGCTCTACCAAGATAGTTTCGTCGAAGTCGCATAGCTTTGCTACCGCAATCACCCGTTTCACATATTTGGAATCTGTCTCGTCTACTTTCTGTGCCAGTGATCGGAGCTTTTGTCGTTGCATAAACAAATAATCTCGAGAACCAAAAAATGAGCCAAGTCGATGGATTGCGTTTGAATAAGGGGCTGTACGAATATCTGGTGAATTGGAATCTGACACTGTTCCTTCAAGAATGTCCAATAGTTTCAATCCTGCCTTTATTTTGAAAATGTTCATCCTCGTAACTTCATCCGATACTCCTGCCAGCTGCATGGATGCCTCCAGGAGATCCTTCCATTGCTCATACGTTTTGCGATCGATGTCTTCTTCAGCGTCGCTTGGCTTACATTCTGGTACTTGTAGTGATGCAAAAGACAGATTACTCATAGACGTCATCAAAACAGTATTTTGCTCATTGGTCGAATTGTCCTCGTGCATAGTAGAGTGTAATCGTACAAAACTACCATCTGCGAACGAATGCTCCAGCTGTTTCTTGTCAGATCGCACTTTCTTCAATTTCGATCGCAAGGTAGAGTTTAGCTTCTTTTCCTCCTCAAGTTGTTTTGCCAACATTGTTGCATCCTTGATCGAAGCTCTGGTTATCTTCCTGTTGAAATAATCCATAATGTTTCCATTAACATTGTTTAAATTATCATTTTCTATTTCGAGAAATATAGTCATTATTGGCTATCTGTTGTTGTTTATTAATTATTCCAAACAAACTTATATTACTATTAATGTCATGTTAATTTACAGATTCAATAAAATCTTACGATTTTCGCTAAGTACCTGAACAGATCGAATGGAAAGTATCAACTCAGTTGGATTTATTATAATTTGTTCAAGCAGTGACCTTGAAGCTTTGGATAAGACTCAACCGGTTCAAACGGACACTACGGAACGCAACAACCCGTTCGAGGGTTGGATTTCATCCTTGTACCCAACCGGGTCAAACGTCCACTATGGAATGCACCAACCCGCTCAAGGGTTGGATTTTATCCTTGTACCCAACCGGGTCAAACGTCCACTATGGAACGCACCAACCCGTTCGAGGGTTGGATTTTTATCCTTGGACCCAACCGGGTCGAACGTTCACTACGGAACGCACCAACCCGCTCAAGGGTTGGATTTTATCCTTGTACCCAACCGGGTCAAACGTCCACTATGGAACGCACCAACCCGTTCGAGGGTTGGATTTTTATCCTTGGACCCAACCGGGTCGAACGTTCACTACGGAACGCACCAACCCGCTCAAGGGTTGGATTTCATCCTTGTACCCAACCGGGTCAAACGTCCACTATGGAACGCACCAACCCGTTCGAGGGTTGGATTTTTATCCTTGGACCCAACCGGGTCGAACGTTCACTACGGAACGCACCAACCCGCTCGAGGGTTGGATTTCATCCTTGGACCCAACCGGGTCGAACGTCCAGTACGGAACGCACCAACCCGCTCAAGGGTTGGATTTTATCCTTGTACCCAACTGGGTCAAACGTCCACTATGGAACGCACCAACCCGTTCGAGGGTTGGATTTTTATCCTTGGACCCAACCGGGTCAAACGTCCACTACGGAACGCACCAACCCGTTCGAGGGTTGGATTTTTTTTTTTATCCTTGGACCCAACCGGGACGAACGTCCACTACGGAACGCACCAACCCGCTTAAGGGTTGAATTTTATCATTGGATCATATTGCCAATAAATAATCACTTTAGGAAGAAGAAGAAAACTAATCGAAGCAACTTCATTTTTTTTTTTTTTAAACTTTTGCTTTGAGTATTTCCACAAATTTCATCATCATAAAAGTAATTCAATTATCATCTCATATCTTATATGAATTTAAATAAATAGAACCGCTAGTAGCGATTCAAGATATGAATTATTTCAATTAAAATGTCCACGCCATTTTGTATTTAGTAAGAGATTCGTAGCTAGAACACCGTTCTCTTTTCAGAAAAATTTCTGCATTGCGAAAAATTATACGTATACTTTATTCACTATCTGGCCGAGAATAATTAATCAACTATCACTACTTACTTTCTGATGGGAATACAAATTTTTCTTAGAGATGGCGCTGCATCCTTGGTAGTCATCATTTTAAATCAGTATGGGAAAAAGGTTAACACTAATTATTTTTATTAAATATAAAAAGTAATCAATGATTGCAATGTTCGTGTGCATAGGGAAAATAAATGTGCACCTGCTAGAACATTTTTTATTTTTTAATAATGCCACATTTAATGTAGAATTATTTAAAACATTTCTTCCCCATACATTTAATTGATGCCTGACTACCAAGAGAGTAAATTAATTTGCCTCTCTCAGCTCTCTCGCACACGCGCTAAAGAGCGAACTGTCACCCACTGTTTGTTTATTTTTTGATTCAATGAAAACGGGTCAGGTTTCCGGATCGTAGTTTGTTTACGTGAATCTTTTGGACTGCGATCAGCTGTGCACTGTCGGTGCTACAGCCGTGATACAACGAATCAGATGGTACTATGGGTTGGGGTGGGTGATCCAGGTGGTAGCGAAATACAGTTCGGCGTGAACAATTTTTTTTTCAATTCGTTTATTTCTTTTAGGCTACAACACCCTAGGGTTACGAAGGGCTCAGGACCGTCGTGCATGCATTTTGTTGTGGTTGTTTAGTCAACTCAATTATTGTCCGTAACCTTTAGCGTAAATCTGTGCAAATCAAATGGAGAGCCACGTCACCATGACGTGACTTTTCTCAGTTTACTAGTGACAAAAGTCACTTCTACTCTCGGAATAACCCCCATGCAGTGTTAATTCCAGCTGTAAACTCATAAAAACCACTCAATCACAAAAGATAAAGCATTTAATTTTTGAACCTGAAAACTCATCGGTGATTTTGGCGCAGTTGTATTTTGCAAGGCAAAACTCATATATGATATTTGAGTTTTTCCGAAGACAACAAATCAAGAAGACTGGCAACTTTGCCAGAATTCACACGGTAATTCTAGAATACTCCTTTTATGACTATGTTTTACACATTTTCGAGAATACGGCTTATACGTCAAAAAATGTTTAGATTTTAGTTACAAATGAAGAGTACTTTTTATGCATTTTCGAGTATGTCAACGACGAACAAAAATGTGTAAAAAGTAGTCCCCGCTGAGAAAAGAAAATTTATGCCGCGACGTGCCGCCATTTTCAAGACAGCGTTCATTGGAAACGCAGCGTTTTAATTCAGTTCCCGGTCCCGGATTATTTTTGTAAAAGTGTCAGCGGAAAATGGAGAAATTGTCAAAAGCTTTGGAACAGGACGTATTCACGACACTGGCAGGTAATTAACGCATTTACTTTTATTGTCAACCAAATAAAAAAGGACATCGTTCGAGTAACCATTTGTTTGTTTATTTGTTACGTGTTAAATGAAATTTTCATCTAAATGTAGATCATGTCCGCGGATGCCTTTGAATCATGGGACAACTGTCCAGAAAAGGCGTTAGAAAACCGCCAAACGTGATGCCATTGGGAGTTGAGGAGGAGTTGGCAGCACCGCTGATTCGATGGATTTGTGTAAGTGTTTTTAATATTTTGCTATTTTGAAAAATAAATATCGTTACACAGCAAAAAAAAATGTAATATCGATCAACGTAATTCAAGCTGATGTATGAAATAATGATGTAATAGCAAAAAGCAGATACAATATTACATCAATGGATGTAATTTTGTTCGCAAAATCGATGTACATCGTACAATGTGATATTACACAACCGATGGATTGACCTGGTTGCATCAGTTTCGATGTAATATTCAACAACTTTTTTTGCTGTGTACCTTTTTATCAATAGGAATCCCTTTCGGCGTACGCAGTTCTGCATAATACGCCGGTGCCTCCCCACATTGTTGACCAGGGAAACGTCTACATGATGTTCATTGAGGGCCATATTTTTTCCTTGGGTACTAGATCAGTCCAAGCAGTAGAAACATTTGTAAAAAATTTCATTGTATTTAACTACAAGGTACCAGCTACATTGATTAAAGTAAAAATGAGTAGTTCACGACTCTCAGTTAACAAACTTTGTAATAAAATGTGTGAGACGATTGATGCGAATAAAATCTAGAAAGGATTTATTCCATTTAATTAAATAAATAAATAAATAAATATTACCGTTAAAATTCTTGTGCATTTTTATTCAATATTTAAAACGAACTTGAAATACAAAATTTGTTTTATTGAAGGTATTTCTATGCATTAAACAATGCATGTGGGTGTATAAATTACGCATTTATACTTTGTTCGGGGTGTCAAAACTACGCATTTTTAAGTTTACTATGTGGTGTAAAAAGTATGCAGATTCTGACGTACATTCAATTTACGCAAAAGAGAGTAAAAACAGTATACTCCTTTATTGGGTAGTCCCATTTTCCAAAGAAAGAGCGTACTTTATAGTCATAAGAGAGTTTATTTTGATAACCGTGCAAGCGACAGATACAGTAGCGCTGCGCTTGAGTGAAGGTGGAAGCAACGAGCAAATACACAAACCCTTCCTCTGAGGATGTAATCTTTGCTATCAAATTCGTTCGAAGCATTTACCTTTGAGCGACAGATGACGCGATTGTACCTGTCTCATAGCGTTCCCATGCATGCTAACCACTACGCCGGGCCCGTACCCTACACATACACTAAGGAGTGACTCCCTCCTATTTTGCGAGTTACGTGACTCTCTCTAACCGGTGAGGTGACAATTCTAGATAAACATTTAATCTATTTTTTTATTTCTATATGACGTTTTGGACGCTAGATAAGAACCTCCTTTATCAAACTATGTGGTCAAATTAGCACAATTTTTTTTTGCATAGCAGTGGTTATCAAAAGAGAAAGTCGATGAAGAGAATCGATCAAATCAGATAAGACCATTTGAAATGTTCATCGAGAATTGTGAGGTGACTCTCCATTTGTTTTTCATAGAGTCACCTCACAGGTAAGTAAGTAGAAATGTTCGCACACCAACTCTTAGAATAATGCGTCATCTGAATAATACATCGTTTTGGATGCTAGTGGGCCCAATTTTAGGAACACTAGGGACTGCCAACATTAGGGACATTAACCCTATGTATATTCTGAGAACTCTAAACTGGTCCCCTGACACCAGAAGTTAGTTTCAGTTCTTACGCAGGATTTCTTTCCGAATCTCGCTTGCCAACGCTCGATCTGATTTCTCATTTTTGTTTTGTTTTAGAAAAATTATGCTGTAATAAATGACTTCAATACGGTACAATAATTAATCATCATAGTATTTATAATAAAAAATATTCCATACATAATCATATAGTAGTAAATTAGTCGATAATTCCATTATAATAATCCACATCTAAAAAAAAAAATCAATCTGTCCTGCCTGGGGACCCTCCTGCTTCCCTTCTCCATGCCGCCATTTCAAACCTACTAGTACACTCCTAACAGACTAAGCGAAAGTGTAATAATTAAATCATTCTGATTTTTGTGTTTCTTTTTTTTCGATATCCTTTCACACAGCATTGCTCCGCAAATTAAGTGTTACACATTTCCAGCGATGTGGGTGGTTCTCCAAACTAGTTCCGAAACCAAAAGAAACAGAGTGAAGTTCAATTTCCATAAAAGTTATGATTTTCTTCCTAACATTTTCCGTGTTTTTTTTATACAAGCATTGCTTTCTCTTCATCTCCAATGCCCTTCCGCACTTGCAATCGATTGCAAAGGTGTATTTTCGTACATTTTCCTAACAGAGCTGGCAGTGTTTGCCACTCATAACGTACGTGGTTCGATGCGGTATTTGATTTTTTTTTGTTTCGATTGATCTTGTATAAATTCTTTTATTTAGTATCAATTTACAATATAAATATGTATGTTTCGGTATTTAGTCCTGCATTTTGCTAACACGTTCAAGCAGAAAGGGAAAGTACGAGAAGCATGAGGAGGAAAGTGCTTGCAGGGGTGTATGCTTAAGTCGTAAATATATGTCTATATGTAGGGCTTCCGCATGAATAGATTTTTTTTTTCGTTTTGCATTCTTCGTGCGTACATTGTGAATCTATAATCCTTACCACTGGAGTCTACTAGCGAGGGTGTTCTTCGATCTTTCTGGTTGATTGATTGATTGGTTAGCAAACGAAGAAGTAACGGCGATGAAAAAATCAACAAACAAGGAAAAGCAAAAAGAAGAGAAAAAAGTAATAATTCCGCTGCTAAGTGGCTGGCACAACGGGCCCGGTCATCTACAGGGTGTAGACGGCTTTCACGCTCGAGCCGGCTTTGCACATCGTGTCCTTGTGGAGATGGTATGTGATTGGTGCTTTGATTCCTAACCGTTCCTTGTAAATGCGACCGATCGAGAGGACGGCTTCGCGGTTCTGGAAGTTGGCAGTCCAGATGGCTGCAAAGAGAGAGAGAGAGAGAAAACGAAAACAAACGTGGGATTAGTTACCGTCAAACGGGGTGACTTGCAACAGCGGGATGACTTGCAACACTTGTATTGATACGCCGTTTTAGTTCGTTTGTAATGAAAGTAAACAAACATCAGCGCCTGTCATCACACGTGTATTGTTTACGCTCTATTTATTGTTACTGGTTATCGATCGAGTGAAAAATATAAGTTGTTGTTTTTTTCTGACATCATCAGTGCAGTTGATTATTCAGCTCAAATTTAGACATCGGAAAACTTAAATTATTGTTGGAAAATAAGAATAAACCCACCAAAATCGGTCACCTCCCAGGTTTTAGTATCCAACCATAGATAAAATTCTGTAAAAACAATATAACTAATAAATCTTATTGCTGTGCAAAAATCAGCTTTTCTGATATGTTTCACACTGCGGGGTGACTTGCAACAGTTATCGATTATAGCTTTAAAAAATGCTTGTTTACTTTCTAACAAAATTGTTATCAACACTTTCATGTTACAGGGCTTCTGTTACATCTGGAATCATGCCAAGGGCCTACAAGAAACCTGCTGGAAGTTGCACGTATGCTAATTTCTGAAAGGAAACTTTGGAAAAAGCGGCGCTAAAAGTTAAAAAGAACAGATTATCTATCCGGGAAGCGGCCCATCTTAAATGATCGTCAAGGAGTTTCTGAACAGCCAAGGAAAGGAGAACCGTATAAAAAACAACTGCTCTGGAAATGACTGGTGTACATCTTTCTTGAAACGGCACACCGTGCTGTCAAACCGATTGTCGGAAAATATTAAAAGGTCCCGTGCAGTTGTTTCGAAAGAAACAATTTCCAACTATTTTGGAAACATGAAGGAATCTATCAAGGATGTGAAGGCTGAATTCATCATTAACTACGATGAAACTAACCTAACAGATGATCCAGGACGCTCACAGGTCATTGTTCGACGGGGTGCAAAGCATGCGGAGCGAATCCTCGATTCCACAAAAACAAGTACTTCCGTGATGTTTGCTGGAACGGCATCGGGTATATTGCTACCTCCATTTGTTGTATACAAAAGCCGTTTTTTGTATGACACCTGGACCACCGGAGGACCTCAAAACACGATGTACGGATGCTCTAAAAGTGGTTGGTTTGATAACGATCTGTTTGAGAAGTGATTTTTTAAGGTGGCACTAGTTGTGGATCAGGGGTCTTCCAGCTTGCTTCAACAGGCAAGTACAAATGTGATCAAGACAATTCTTCGCCTGACATGCCTTCAAGTTACAGCACGTCTTGCATTTCCAATGTTGCTTATTTCAATCCTGAACATCACGGTCTGCAGTCCACCGATGACGGCTTCCTTTATAACACCGATTATGAACATACTGCACCGAATCGTAGCTGCCACGTTTCTGAAACTGTCAGCCCAGAACGCATTGCCTACCGCCCCATGGAAGCCCCTAAGCCTCTCAACGCAGTCGTGTGTACTGATTCCTGCCATCGTAGTCGTTCTGGCCCTGTGGTTGAGCACGTTGAAGGGGTCTTCCAACCTTCGATTTCAGGCAAGTATGTGTTTATTGAAACCAATTTCTCGCCTGATCAGTCTCCACGTTTAAGCGCAACGTCTTCTTCACCACCGACTGAACCTTGCCTTTCCGATTGCCAACCTATGTTATCCGATGGACTTGTGGTATATTATCAAAATGTTCGTGGCTTGCGAACTAAAATTGACGACTTATTCTTGACTGCTGTTGAGTCCAACTACGATGCAATAGTTCTTACCGAGACCTGGCTAGATGATCGAATTTCCTCAACACAATTATTTGGCAGTAGGTTCTCAGTTTTTCGTAATCACGCGGTGGTGGCGTCTTGATTGCGGTTTCCAAACTACTGAACTGTTGCCTCGATCCAGCTCCGGTTAGTACTTCTCTTGAGCAGTTATGGGTGAAGATTACGACGTCACACAACATGATAAGCATCGGTGTTATGTACCTTCCTCCTGACCGTAAATCTAATTTGAGCTGCGTTGAGAACCATATCAGTCCCATTGGTGCTGTATTGTCCCGATTACATCACAACGATCTAGCTCTGCTATTTGGCGATTATAACCAGCCTGGGCTTGTTTGGAATAGTTCCGCGAATGATCATCCAACCATTGACGTGCTTCCTGCTGTGCTCTTTTGGATGGTTTTAGCCTGCATGGTTTAATGCAAATTGATTCTCCCGGCTGCTTGATCTTGTGTTGGTGAACGAAGCCGCCGCACTAGAGTGCAGTGTCGCTGAGGCATCCGAGCCTCTGATACATCTAGACGCCGATCATCCAGCGTTGGAAGCATTCATCAATCGATCAGTTCCTGTTCTCTATGAAAACATCGTTGATGTACAAAGCCTGGACTTTCGTAGAACTGACTACGTCGCATTGAATCACTCACTGGCCCAGGTAGATTGGCAGTCGCTTGACTTGTGTTCGTCCATTGATGAAGCCGTTAACTATTTCGACGAAGTTGTTAGCCGATTAATAATGGATTGTGTGCCTCTGAGGAGACCTGCTCCAAAACCTGCATGGTCCAATGCTCGATTACAACACTTGAAGCGTGTGAGATCGAAGGCTCTTCGAAAATACAGCCAGTCCCGTAATCCATTCACCAAGCGATTATTTTCGTTAGCAAGTAATTGCTACCGAATGTACAACCGTTTTCTATACAAGAAGTACTCAAAACGTATGCAGACCAATCTCCGGCGTAATCCTAAGCTATTCTGGACGTTTGTGAAGACAAAAAGGAAAGAGTATGGGCTACCGGTTGAGATTCATCTAAGCCATAAACGAGCCAACACTTCTTTAGAGAAATGTAACCTCCTGGCTGAGCATTTCAAGAGTGTTTTCAACGATTCAACGGCATCGTTAAGCCAAGTTGCTGAAGGGATCAGAGATACTCCCAGTGACGCGTTCAGATTTGATATTTTCAAGGTCACATTGGACCTCGTCGACTCTGCCATCCAGAAGCTGAAATTCTCGAACGCTGTTGGGCCTGACGGCATTCCATCGTCCATACTCAAAAGATGCTCAACAGAGCTTTCCTCTCCGCTTTCAAAGCTGTTCAATATTTCGTTACAACAAGGTGTATTTCCCTCTAGCTGTAGAAACTACATTTCTCCTGACCATCATGGTTTCCACCCCAAACGTTCGGTCTCCACCAAACCTCGCTCCTTTCATTTCCCTATGCCTACGGAATATGGAGTCAGGGGCACAGGTGGACATCGTATACACGGATCTCAAGGCTGCTTTCGACCGGGTTGATCATGCCATTCTAATTGCCAAACTCGAGAAGCTTGGTGTTTCTCATGGACTCACTCGTTGGTTTGAATCGAATCAATCTGTTTTTTTTTTCTAAACACAAACAATCCCGTTGCAGTTTTTTTTCCGTGCATTGGCTACTTCTGATGTCTGGCAACACTTCTAATTTTTTTTTGAGCCGGAACAAGTGGAAACTAAGTATTTGGGAGTCATTTTTGTGTAAACAAACCACCATTTTCGAGCGGAAATACGAATATCAGCTAAAACTCATTACAAATCCCACAAGTCGGTAAGTTTTTCAATAGAAATATACTGTTTTGGAACTCTTTTCTTACACTGAAAATAGTTTTCATGTAGCTTCCATTGGAATCGCAAATGATTTTCATCCATAAACAAAATTAATGGAATTCATCTGAATTTCACATAACATTTATGTGGGAAGATCGAGTAGCCCCTCGGTGTAACTTGCGAAAAATTCAGTTCTCACCCAACCGTTACACAAAGTGTCTCGCGTGTGCGCGTTGTATTAATTAATTTGATAATAAAGTTACTTTTTCCGATATTCTCTCAACTCTAAACCCTTCCGTCTTACATGGGGGCTCGTCCGGGAAGGAGAGTTGTTGAGACAGTGAACGCGATGTGATTTAATTTCGCTTAAATTAATCACAAGAAGTACGACGCAAATCGCATTCAAGATGGCGGAACAAATAGACCTATTATGTGAGACGTTCACGAAGGTCGGAATCATGCGAGAGTGCGAAAAACGAGGATTGCCGAGCACCGGCAATAAAAAGGCTATGGCGAAGCGGATCATCGATCATGACGCGACGATGACTGCTATCGAGGAAGAAAAGGCAGACGATGATGGTGTTCGTGTCACCAAAGGCGAGGTGAAGGACAACAGCCAACATGACGATGATTCCGAAGGAGAAAACGACGACGAGAGCCGAAATACTGCCGACGAAGAGGACGCACTCACCGACGACGACGGTGACAGTGACGACGCGGAATTCTTTACACCAAAAACGAAGACGGCGAGAACGACGTCAACACCGAAGCCAGCCAGACGCCCATCCCCGGAGCAACGACCGTACTCGTTTCGGGATGTTGAAGACAGTATTGAGGCTTTCGGAGCCGACGAGGGACAGGATGTGAAGATGTGGATGAACCAGTTTGAGGCTATGTCGAAAACGGCTTGCTGGAACGCCGACCAGAAGCTGATTATGTGCCGAAAGAAGTTGGTTGGCACAGCACGACGATTTGTGTTTTCCCAACGCGATATGACGACGTTCCGAAAGGTGAAAGATGCCCTGATTCGTGAGTTTTCTCCATTCGTACGAGCGAGCGACGTACACCGTACGTTGGCTGGACGCAAGAAGAAGCCTACGGAATCAACACGCGATTACATTTATGAAATGCAACGGATTGCCCTGCCGATCGACCTCGACGAAGCTAGTGTGTGTGAATACATCGTCGATGGCATAACGAACGACGAGTTTCATCGATCCCTGCTGTACGGAGCACACACCGTCCGAGAGCTGAAGGCGAAGTTGCTGAATTTCGAGAAGGCGCAGAAAAAAGCCGAACCGAAGCCGAAGTTTGACGACGCCGCCGGCAGGAAGAAAGAACGTCAAAAGCAGGACTCGACGAAACAAAGCAGCAAATCTGAAGCGAAGAGGCGTTGCTTCAATTGCGGTGATGCTTCC